CCCCCCCCATGAGCAGGTTAAGTGTTAAATTTTCAAAAAAATGATATCAAATGAAAGGGATATATCTAAGGTTTTAGTATAAAAAAAATTATGTTGATTTGTTGATTTTTGAAAAAGTTATGGAAGTTTTAATACAAAAAAGTGAAAAAAATGACAAAATTTGTCGATTTTTAAATTTGTAATTTTTTTGGATATTTCCCCCATTTGTGGGGAACGAGGGAAAATTTTTAAATTTTTAAGGGTAATGTCTTCAACTAGATACAATTTGTGATCTTTTGACGTATTGTTAAAAGAAATCGGTCCAGTGAGAGCTGAGAAAAAGTAGTGACAGACACAAAAAAAAAAATAAACACATCATGGTAAAATTAATACCTTCTCAGCTTCGCATCGAAGCTAAAAATCATAACAAAATGTTTATTTGTACAAAAAATTATAAGAGTTGTCAGTTAGATATGTTCCATTCTGTATATATTGCAAGTACATTGTGTGTGTTGATTAATATTTTCAGTACTTATTTTTTGAATCTGAGAAAAATTGATATAAACACTTTAAAAATATAAATTTTTCCAAGTTATTTTTTGTCTGACATGCGAGTAAATTTTAGTTATTAAAAAAAAACAATTTTTACTTTTTTTAAATAAATTAAAGTAATTGTATGAATATTGACACGTGTTAAATGAACTAAATAAAGAGAACGTTTGTGTTAAAAGGCTGAATTGTTCATCAAGTGGTAAAGGGTAGTTTTGTAACTAATTTTATTAAGCATATATAAATTAAATAAGCCATGACGTACAAGTGCTAAATAATAATAGTAAAGCGAGGAAAGAAAGTCAGTTTCAATTTTGATCTTAACTTTTAATGTTTATATAAATATAAATTCTATAGATGTTCATTTTCAGTGCTATTAATAAAAATCAAAATTATGTTTTTTTGTAATTATCACTGTCCGTCAAGATAAATTTGTTACGTTTTTATTTCATTTAGAAAATTATTCTTAATAATATTTTGGTAACATTATTGTTTTATACAACGAAATCGTTTAGATGGTCAGTTGAAAACATTTCTATGATATATTTTCCGTGACCGCATTGGATCATCTCTGAGTTGTCACATGAATATAGTAAATTCGATGACGCCGTAAAAAGTGTAGTAGCAACTTATCTCTCAAGGGAGCATTTTCAAAAGTATAATCTTGTGTAGCAACCTCATTGCTGATTCTTTATGCTTTCAGAGAACCCTTAGGGTCCATCATGAATTAATACTGTCATCGTAGTCACGCTTCGATCATACTATTACTTCATCAAGGACAACTGAAAAATAACGAAAGCTTTTTGCTCTTTGTGCATTGGTACTTTGAGGCGATTCAATACAATGAAAAGTATTTTGTACTATTTGATTGTAAAAAAAACGGTAGCACAGTGGGGTCGCGGCATAGTGGAGACATTGCATAGTTGGGTTCAGTCTAGATTTAATCTGACAGTGATTAAAATCACTATCATAAGAAACGCTTCGATGCAAATCTGTAGATAGTGTTTAATTTTAAAAAATTGATGGATAATTGCAAAAGCAACATCAACTTCTATTAAAATAAAATACAAAACCCATAATTNGGTCCATCATGAATTAATACTGTCATCGTAGTCACGCTTCGATCATACTATTACTTCATCAAGGACAACTGAAAAATAACGAAAGCTTTTTGCTCTTTGTGCATTGGTACTTTGAGGCGATTCAATACAATGAAAAGTATTTTGTACTATTTGATTGTAAAAAAATTATTATAAAATAAGTATTTTGTAATTCAAAGAATACACATTTTATAATTTTATGTGACACGATTATTTTGTTAATAAAATTAATTTAAATTCTGTAAAAATATACTTTAATGCAATTATGAAAGTAATATGTTAAAGATTATTTACAAAAAAAAGTATCGTGCCAAATAAAGTATTTCCAACTGCAAATGCAGTTTTTTCACATTTTTTAGATGAAAAATATCTTGATCGTATTGGAAATTAATGAAAATATACTATATCAATAATTACATTGAGTAAATGAGTAATGGAACAAGATATCGAGCAACATCAACATGAAGTTCAGACCAGCTATCTTGCCAAGCTTGGAGAACTGTCTAGCAAAAGAGGCCAAGAAAGTCAGAAGTAGAAATGTTATGGCTAAAATGAGTAAAGAAGGGGCAGGTAGAAGAAGTAAGGCGGTCAGCAGTTTTGTTACCTAATATATCGGCGTGACCTGGCACCCAATGAAATCAAATAGATTTATTCTGGAATCGAAGGTAAGTGATCTAATAATAAAAATTTAGGGAGAAAGATGAGTGCAAAGTGGATTAAAAGTAATAAAAAGCAGATAAGATAGTGAATCAGAAAAAAATAGCAAATTCATTAATTGAAGTAGAGCATATAAATGACGATGAGGCATTCCGTGATAAAAGAATAAGAAGATGGGTGGAATACATCCAAGAATGATATATTAAGTTCAGGAATAAAAAAAGAGAAACTAACTAAGTTAGTTAATACAGAACCATTTGTAAATATCAATCATTCAGTCGGGAAATTTAATGAGAAATAATCCTCAAAGAAATTATTAATATAATTGCAGGAATAGAACGGATTATTAAAGGAGAAAATCCGCTGAAATACATTGAAGTATACAATATGGGAGCTAGTGTAAGGGCAAATAGAAGACAATCGAATAGAGGAGTGCGACTAGTATATGTGACAGGCCATGGGAGACAGGGAGAATATACTTAGGCCGATATTGGCAGAGTTTTAGGCACTTAATGCCAATAATTAAATAATTCTAAGTATAAGGAGTAGATATGGTGGTTAGAAGTAGAGAGAGATTTTAGGAGAAATGTATAAGCAAACAAGCGACAGCGGATTTTGAGGGAGAGAGGAGCACTCAACAAAAATACTTTGGCTCGTTGTAGATTTTAGAACACTAAGAATGCTTGCGCGTAAAAAGGAATTTCGTTTTTGGGTATAGGATTCTGAAGAAAATAAAAAAGAGTCGTATTCGACATAACTGCAGA